AAAGAAAGAAAGAAAATGAGGCAGGCTCAGTGCCCATAGCTCAGTGAGTAGGGCACTGGCCACATACACCAAAGTTGGCAGGTTCAAGCCCAGCCCAGGCCTGCTAAACAATAATGACAACTGCAACCAAAAAATAGCCAGGCATGGTGCCTATAGTCCCAGCTACTTGGGATGCTGAAGCAAGAGAATCACTTAAGCCCCAAAGTTTCAGGTTGCTGTGAGCTGTGACACTATGGTACTCTACCAAGGGCATCATAGTGAGGCTCTGTCTCAAAAAAAAAAGAAAAAACTGAGGCCAAAGGATCACTTGAACCCAAATTGGAGGTTGATGTGAGCTATGACACTGCAGCACTCTACCCAGGGTGACAGCTTGAGACTCAGTCTCAAAAATAAATAAATAAATAAAAATAAATAAAATGAAGAAAATAGGGGCAAGGGCCTCAGAGAGCTGGGAAATGTTCTGAGAACACCTCCCCTCAGGGCTGTCCCTCTCTTTCCTTCAGCCAGTACCAGGCCCTGTAGATTTTACTTTGGGGCCATCATGGGCCTCACCCACTTGCCTCCCATGAATCTTCCACAGAGCAGCAACCTAATTTAAGCCCCTCCAGTTTAAAACCTGGACTGGTATGCTGGCCAGCCCTGCCCCTCTCACAGACCACAGAATTCCCAGCTCATGAACCTGATGGAGATTAAGCAAGAGATGAGGGGACATCCTGCCCAGCGCCCACCCTAGGCAGGTCCTTAGTAAATATTCCTCTTCTGGTAGAAGCCCTTTGAGCCTCCTCTTAGGCTGCCTCTAAACAGCAGGCCTCTGGGAGTCATAAACTCTGTAACTGAATTCCTCACCGTGTAGGAGGTTTCACAGCAACTTTATTCCCAGGGAGAGAGGTGGAACAGCCCCTCCCTTCTCCAGGATGGGAGGGGGCAGTCAGAGGCCTGTTTAATTTAATTTAACGCTCTGTGGCTTACCAGGTTGCCCCTAGTAACAGCTTCAGCTGCTGCTTCAGTTATAACTAGAAGGATTTTTTAAAGAGACAGACCATTTTAGGGCCAGAATTGCACAGTAGAGTGAGCAGCCAATGCCACTTCATCACAGTGATAGAGGAAAGCCCAAGCAGGACCAGGCCTCAGACTGGGTCTGTGTACCTCATCAACTCCACCCTCTACTCACTGACCCTATCTGCAACTCCACAGTTCCTCCTGCAAATGTCACTATAAAGTGGGATCTAATGAGGAACTGTGTTTGGGATTTGTCACACAGATGTCACTCAGCTAGCTACTTTTTTGACAATCAATTTTAGTTGAGGGAGAGAGTTAATGCTTAGAAGTTGCCCCTGCAATTCAGGCATACCACCACCAGGTGGTGGTATTGCTTGTGTAGTCAAACCATGACCAGGCTCTTGAATTACTCAAAAATACTCAACAGTGAACAGAACGGTGGTGAAACTACTGGGCTTTATGCCCTGATGCTAACTAGTATAGAACCCTAAGTCCTTTCACCTTTCTAACCTCAGTGTCTCCAGGGACATAATAAAAAGATTGAGCAGGATGTTGTGGAAAAGGCTGGGGGCTGGGACCATGATGGCATGAGTTTAAGTCACAGCTCTGTCATGTACTAACTATATGGTTTGAACACATAATTTAATTTCTTGCAGCATGAATTCCAAACAGAATTGCTGTGAACCAGGGTGAGCCCAGAGGACAACACATTGTCTCCTGGGAGCACGGTAGGAAGTGGAGAGCAGGGTGTAGCCGGATGTTACTGAAACAGGCTGCAGTGGACAGAGCAGCCTCCTAGTGAGCCCTAAGCCCCCTTAGCTCCAACCCAGGAGAAAGGGAATGTTTATTCTAGACTGGGGACTACCCTAACTGCTCCTGAAAGTTCATATTATTATCCTCCTTTGCAGATAAGGACATAGGCTCCAAGGGGTAACTCATCGCCCAGGGTCACCCACCTCATATAGCCAGACCTGTCAGATACTTGACCCTCTGTTTCTTGCATTACAATCCCCTGAGACTACTACACCTGCTCTCACTGTGGCTGCACCCATTCAAGAGCATGGGAGTGAGAGCAGTTTTTCTCTCCACCATGACCATGATTCAGAATAGCCAGCCACACAGCAGGAAGGGGCCAGAGGCCATGGGCTCACACATCTAAGAGCCAGGGGGCCTGAGGCACCACATGCCTTTGGTCCTTCTCACAATCACGGTTTGCCATTATGTCGAAGTCTGTAGCCAGCTTGGCCTACAGTAGGTTAGATCTGACTCCCTTTCCTCTTTCCAGGGCCTGTGTAAGTAAAGTAGGTAAGGGTCTCCAGCATCCTATCCCCACCTCTTGCTTTGGGAAATGTCCTCCACTTCTCAGGGATGTCCTTTAGCCCTTGGGGCCTACCCCTCTCCTCTCCAGGCAGTCTTAGTCCCCACTAAAGCCCCCATATACACATTCCCACCTAAGTAACAGGATTACCCTTCAAGGGGATGTGAATAAAAACACACATTAGGGGCCAGGT